AAAGGAAACGGGGCGTGCGTTTGGGGGGGGGGGCGATAGCTTTCACCCTAACTTATTCCCAGTATAAATCATAAGAGGAGTGATTTATGCCATCCCAAAGTATCGCGCAATTCACGATTAGCCTAATCATGGTTAGTGTGTCACAGAATGTCAAGGTTGATCAGTCATCAACCCCATGACCCAGACACGTCATCAAGCTTCCGTTTAGGCGCACGAGTGTTTTGGTTGGTGACTCGTTTACATTATAGCAAGTTTTAGGAGGAAAGATGAGACCCAAAAAAAAAAAATTAAAAAAAAAAATTAAATAGTGCCATTGCGTCCACACCAGTTCCTAAAATATAGACAAAGCAAATCAGATGACATCACCCTAAAGTATTTTTTATGCGGAGGCCCATTTAGCAGAGATGTTGGATACAAATGCTTGAATGGAATTGAGGTTTTAATGTGTAAGGGGCCATCCATTAGTGTGTGTGGGTGTGTCTGGTGTGGGGTCCCCCACGAATTTAAGAGGAAGTCTTTTACATGCAGTGGCGTATCTATTGTTGGTGTAGCCAGGGGTGGGTCAATCATTTTGCCGCCCCCTTCCTTGACAAAAATTATGAAGGTAGCCGAAGATGCCGCCCCTTGAGGAAAAAATGCCACCCGGGGCGGACCATCCCTCCGCCACCCCCATTCCGAAGCCACTGGCAGAATGTGATGTCAGATTTTTTGAGTTGTATTAGTAACTAGTTCTAGCCCGCCAAACATTGGCGACGGCAATGCGTGAACTTCCCATCTACTAAAGTTACTTCTATCCCCCCCCCCCACGATACGTCACTGCACCCCTTTTTTTCACGCTCATATTAAATATTCTGATGTCCCAAACACTTTTAAACTCAATATTTTTTTGTTCCGTTCCTGCTCATTAATCCTACTTTTAAATGTTTGACTGTTTTGAAGTAATTTATTTGAAGCTCAAAATCGAGGTGGACCACACTGGTTTACTCTATAAATATTTATGACTTATCTATAAAAGAAGATATTGTACTAAGGTTCAGTGGTGTAGCGAGGCAGGTGCGGGTGGTGCGGACCGCACCGGATGACACCATTTTAGGGGTGACACCCGATTGAAAAATTGCATATTTACAGGGCACACATTGCTCGCAAAAATCGAGATTCATAAAAGAATAACCGATCACACATATATTTTTCACAAATTTAACCAATCCAAATGCGTGCTTTATTAAAAGTTCAAGGTTGATGCTATACTGTGGACTTATTTTAACAAGNCAGGCGCACTACATCAAATTCTGGCCTGGTAACCAGGCGCACTACATCAAATTCTGGCCTGGTAACCAGGCGCACTACATCAAATTCTGGCCTGGTAACCAGGCGCACTACATCAAATTCTGGCCTGGTAACCAGGCGCACTACATCAAATTCTGGCCTGGTAACCAGGCGCACTACATCAAATTCTGGCCTGGTAACCAGGCGCACTACATCAAATTCTGGCCTGGTAACCAGGCGCACTACATCAAATTCTGGCCTGGTAACCAGGCGCACTACATCAAATTCTGGCCTGGTAACCAGGCGCACTACATCAAATTCTGGCCTGGTAACCAGGCGCACTACATCAAATTCTGGCCTGGTAACCAGGCGCACTACATCAAATTCTGGCCTGGTAACCAGGCGCACTACATCAAATTCTGGCCTGGTAACCAGGCGCACTACATCAAATTCTGGCCTGGTAACCAGGCGCACTACATCAAATTCTGGCCTGGTAACCAGGCGCACTACATCAAATTCTGGCCTGGTAACCAGGCGCACTACATCAAATTCTGGCCTGGTAACCAGGCGCACTACATCAAATTCTGGCCTGGTAACCAGGCGCACTACATCAAATTCTGGCCTGGTAACCAGGCGCACTACATCAAATTCTGGCCTGGTAACCAGGCGCACTACATCAAATTCTGGCCTGGTAACCAGGCGCACTACATCAAATTCTGGCCTGGTAACCAGGCGCACTACATCAAATTCTGGCCTGGTAACCAGGCGCACTACATTAAATTCTGGCCTGGTAACCAGGCGCACTACATCAAATTCTGGCCTGGTAACCAGGCGCACTACATCAAATTCTGACAAATGCATTTCTTCGAGAAATAAATGCTCTACCCATAGGGTGACTAGGCGCATAATTTGAGAATCAATGAGAACCACTGGACTCACCAAACAGTGGTGAAAAACCTGTGACACATTTTTACTGTGATGTCATTGCTTATAAATAAATTATTTTTTTGGGGGGTGAGGGGTAAAAAAATCAAACTTTTTTTTGTGTGATGGATACGTACTATATGGATGGCCCCCTAAGCTACACCACAAAGGACTGAAAATTATAAATTAATATACAAAAAAAAAGAGAAATGTAGCCATTGAGTTTTCAGCTGTACAATTTCAATATTCGTGATTTCCTTCCTCTTGAAATGTAAAACTGCTGTAGTTTAAAGGTTGCAATAATGGGGTTGACATCAACAAAAGATACCTAGGTGTTGCACCATGCCCAGGAATTGCCAGTTAAAAAAAAACCCTGAAAATGTTTAAAATTATGTTAAACATAATACTTGAAATGACATATCAAGTAGGACTTTTGTAAAAACATAACAAAGACATACGATTGCCCATTGCTGATTTTATTGATAGCTAATGAAAAAATACATTGTACAGTTATAATTTATAATGTGACTGCCACAGAAAATTAAATAATAATTTATAAGCATGTGGCTAGTGAAGAAATTACACACTCTGAAGAAGTATTCCAGTGAATCTCAAACTTCCTTTCCTCTTCTACTTCTAGTCAAAGTGTACCAGTCCTCTTCTAGTCACCGTGTACGAAACATTTTTTAACAACACAAGGCTACTGAGTCTCGCTATTGCTGAGTGTTACAAATTTGAAGAACATTTCAATATCTCTATTATTATTATTGTTATTATTATTTAAGTGGACTTATGTAGCGCGTCACCCCAGGTTCAGCGCGCTTCACATAAAAAATTAGCACAAAAAAAATTATACCTCTAGTGAAAAATGATATTTACCCCCCCCCCCCCCCAACCTGTTGCTGGGAAAACATACTGTACTCTACTTACAAAAAACCAAAAAAAACAAAAAAACAACTTAACTGTGAACAGTGGTTTTTAAATTCCAAAAACTATTTTAATTTTAGGGTTGCCAATTTTTATTTTATTCAAAAAACAACCTTTTAAAACAAAAGGTAAATTAGAATATATCTTTCCATGGAATGTGCCCTAAATTAATGACACTTGTTAATTAAAGGCCTCCAGATTGCTGGGAGTTCCCACAGCACAAACTTATCTGTTACTGGATACAAGTTCCTTTTTGGAATGCCACAAGAAGTCTGAGGGCTCCCACAGAATTGAATTTGGCAGTGGTTATGGAATAATGCAGTGTGTATTTAAATTAAATATGAAATAAGAAAATCTTAATTGTGAAAAGGGGAGGTGGAGGGGGGGGGGGGAAAGAAAAATGTTTAATTTAGAATATTTTTTGGGACTGGGAAAGAAAGGGTAGGTTTTTTTGATTGGCAGTGGTTATGGAATAATGCAGTGTGTATTTAAATTAAATATGAAATAAGAAAATCTTAATTGTGAAAAGGGGAGGTGGAGGGGGGGGGGAAAGAAAAATGTTTAATTTAGAATATTTTTTTGGACTGGGACAGACAAGCTAGGTTTTTTTGATGGTCTAAAACAGTGGTCCCCAAATGGCGGTCCATGGACCAGTCTGCAAGCCTTACATTACCGGTCCGGAGAGCATGCATATTGATGTTTAAATAGAAATAAAATGTAATTAATAAATCTGGCACCGGTCCCTGGTGCAGTTTCGAAACTTGTCCACCGGTCCGTGAAACTTAAAAGTTTGGGAAACGCTGGTCTAAAACAACACAGTAGAGTTGCTCAAGATGGTAAACAAACAAAAATTGCACCAAGAAAGTGTACAAAATTTTGGATGGTGTCAGAGAATTGGACTTGCCAGCAGAGTTGAGTGTTTCCCCACCTTTGTGTCTTTAGGCCCATGGTGTGTGGAGATGCTTCTTTGATAGCGATAGGTTTGTGTACTTTCACACACTCAAACCTTGACACTGGTTGAGAGGCATGGTACTTAACAGCCCATTATGTCTAATGCCATTATTAACATCCTTCACATGCCAGTTATATTATGTTTTATTAATCTAACCACTGTTTCACTTCAAAGATTTAGACCAACTACAACATACCTGACCAACTACAACATACCTGTCCAACTACAACATACCTGACCAACTACAACATACCTGTCAAACACAGCTACTGAAATAATTTAATGAAAATATAAAATAAAATTACTCCACGTATTGTGACACAGAAATTTCATTTAGTGCAGTTGAACAAAAATAATGCACCCACTCAACCACACACAAGATTTATTCTTTCAACCTCAAGAATCAACAATAAAAAAAAAATATCACATGTTTGAGAATGTTAATAACATAACAGTCTATAAAAGTATGACAGCTAAACCTTGCACAATGGCTAGGCATGGAATTATTGCACATTCAACAATCAATCAAATTAATACAGAAAAATTGATCTGGGATTCAGGCTATTTACACAGTTGCAAGACTGACTGCTGGGGGGAATTAATAAGAAACACATTATCTTACATTTTATAAATTTGAGATGTACCACTTAACACTTCTATTTAATTTCAACTCAAAGAAAAAACAAGACAAACCAAAATTTAAAAAAACTCATTAAAAAATATTTAAAAACGTTAATACAAATGCTCAAAAATGAAGTGGAGAAAACTAATATAAAGGGACGTAACTAATATGTATCAAGGATAAAAACGGAGGTGATAAAATTTAACCAACTGACATAAGAAAGCTGGTTGTGTAACCGATAAAATGGCGGGTGGAGAAAAGGGTTGACAAGAAGGGGAAAAAAACAAAAACATGAACAAGATTTGGAAAAATTGAATCCATCCCCTTAAAAGCAAAGGGTGCATAGGTGTGTCATCAAGAAGTCTATGCAAATTTATAACACAATGTTTTAAAATGTGTTAGGTGGCTAGGTGAAAATCTGAAAACCATGCGGTGCATCCATAGTCCTGTGGTGTTTCTTTAAAAATTAAATAATGTGTTGCGTCCATGGCCCATGGTGTTGGCCTTGTGGTATTTACTAAAACCATGTGGTTTCATCCATGGTCGTGAGGTGCTTCTTTAAAACATGTGGTTGCATCCATCACACTGTGGTGTTTCGTTAAACCATATGGGCGCATCCATCACACTGTGGTGTTTCCTAAAACCATGTGGTTGCATCCATGGTCATGAGGTGCTTCTTTAAACCATGTGGGTGCATACATCACACTGTGGTGTTTCTTTAAACCATGTGGGTGCATACATCACACTGTGGTGTTTTGTTAAACCATGTGGTTGCATCCACAGCCCTGTGGTGTTTCTTTAAGCCATGTGGGTGCATTCTTCACACTGTGGTGTTTCGTTAAACCATGTGGTTCCATCCACAGCCCTGTGGTGTTTCTTTAAGCCATGTGGGTGCATCCATCACACTGTGGTGTTTCGTTAAACCATGTGGTTGGTGAGCTGCTTGTTACCATAAGAACATTCACAAATTTCCTATTGACGCTCATGTGGTTCTGGTGTAAAATATTTTTTTACAGGATCTGGAGCATGGCATGGGTTGACTCCCCTTGTCTGTAATCTTGACTTCAAATAAAATCAACCCCACAGTTTCCGATGCTCAGATTATGAAAAAATCACTTTGTTCCCGGAGGCAGCTAACAAAATAAAAAGCTCCAAGAGGGAGATGTGTGTGGCAGAAGTGATGTAAGAATATCAGAGCATGTTCATCAACTGTATGTAACATGTGGAGTAAACCACTATGTTAAAAAAAAAAATGGACTCAAGATATTAATTACATATATGAGTATAGAAAAAAATGGGAATCGTCACAAAAAATATATATTACAAATCCCTAACATACTATACATAAAAATTCCTTTGCAAAATTCAAATGTTTTTTTTTTTGGGTGAAAAAATGTAAAAAAACGGAATGCACCAAAATGATTGAGTACAACTATAAACATTGTTGTTATAAACACTGTTGCTGGACTTAATGATAAATGTTTCTTAAATTTGGATGGACAGCTGTATAGTAAGTAGGCTGGTTGCAATTTGAATCACAAAATCTAACACTTATATAAGAGGGATAGTTGTGTTTAAAGAAAATCTGGACACAGACTTAAAAATAAAGTTTGTGAGAAAGCTTAATTCCACCTCAATCAGGTCTGACTAGTGCTGAGACTCCGCAGGTCACTCAGAAAGCCTTCAGGTGTCAGAATGTGGGTCGCACCTGAAGATGTGGTAAAAAATAAATAAGAATAAGAGTAAAAAAAAAACAAGTATGGGTATGGGTAAGTAGGATTAAGAAAGAGGAACTTATAAGAATAAGAAAAAAAATAAGATTAAGAGTAAATGTAACAGAAAATGAATACAACATATTCTGACATCCCAGATCCAAACAACAATAATTATTTTAAAGCAAAGGAAAGAAGTTTTGAGGATTTTGTGAAGGAAAAAGAACTTACATTTTCTTAAAGAATTATGTTTTCCAAATAAAATGACTTTAAAAACCAACATTCTGGAAGCAGAAGTCCACAACAGATATCACTGGGAGCCATGCCAGAGCAGATATGATTGGAAGCCATGGCAATAATGAATTAAATAGATGTTTCTTTTCAACAGTTTATTTCATCAAATATAAAGCTATCTTAGTAACCATTTGACAAGACAATTGTCAACACATTCTCAATTTTGATTGATTGGAGATACCCGGTACAGCTATTCTGTACAAACAGACCACAACAACGTCATCTTTTAAAACTCTTGGTTACCAGCGGCTAGCTAGCCTTTTAACAAATTTGTTAACATTTCTTTAGCACAGATGAGCTCCAGCTTTTTAACAGCTTGAAAATCAATAAATAAATGAAGTACCTATGAGGACCTCCCAGTTCTTGACTGACTGTGTCACAGAGTAAGCACATCTCATTTCAGAGTAGGTCACACCGCCTATTATAAAAACTATAAGTCTCGGGCCGGATTTGTAACTTTGTTTACCCTTTTCCTGATGCCACTGTCCATAGTTTCTGGCACTGAAAAAAAAAAAAAAGGTAAATGTCAGGATTAGAAGAATTTCATACATGGAAACCACACCACCACCCTGAAAAAAGGGAGAGAAAATTGGTATTGGGTAGTATTTGAACAGTATTTGTGAGACAGGCCAAAGCCCTACATGGACTGTAGCGCCACAGGAATGGATGGATATTATTTGAACATTTGCTATTGGTTACTATCAAATAGTAAGAAATGGATATGTGACACCGTAAATAACAATACAGGACAGTGAAAAGAAAGTTTTGACTAAAACCTTCATTGTCAAAACTCAATCTAAGTTCCAATTCTCATTTACCTGCGTTGTGGTCCTGGAATGTGTGGTCTTGAATTAGCTCCACCAGCCAAGAATGGGAAATGCCTGGCATCTAGCTTGTCTTCAATAGCATCCTGCAATTAAGTGTTGTATTTTTTCAACATTCTTCAAACCGAGTTACTTTCATTAAATAGCATTGTTGTCCTTTTAAAAGACAGAGGCTGCTGAGTATAAAGTATAAAACATATTTTAAAACTCTGGCCATTCATCACTGTAATGTGACACCACACATGGCCTGACACCACACATGGCTGGCCATCTCATATTATTTGAAAATTTAAATTGGGTTGTGTGGCAAAACTTATTTTTTATTTGCATAAATTAACATGTTTTTTTGTGTGACTTTTAAAAAATAATCAAACAGGGGGGGTGGGGTCTGAATGAATAAATCCCTTGATTTGATCAGTATAAGTATAAGCCAAGAAATGTGGAAAGAACTTTACACCATTCAGATTTTAGTGCTGTCAATCTAACTTTGGTTGGCTAACCTTACATCAGTCAACCGTGCTCTTTCATCATTTGCATTGACCTACCTCCAATATATCTTTAATATAAGGTACCCATCTGGACATCTGGTAGGTGTGCTCCGAGGCTCTCACTTTACGATTAAATGGCTGGTACGGCTGCTGAGTTTTACGCCTGCCACCCTAATAATAAACCAACAAACAAAAACATTGTCGCCTTAAGATGATGGTTTTAACCCCCCAGAAAGAATTGTTGATTTAGAAGACAAGCAAGGGAAAACTTATTGGATGATGAAAAGATTTGAGACTCTTGTTCATATAAACCTGGTTCAAAATTGCGTGTGATGTTAGAACTAAAAAACTTTAGTAGGCTTGAAATCAACAAAACTAAAAAATGTCTTCCTTGACTTGATCAATTTCCAAATGATGCTGGTAGAAGCAAAACTTGACTGAGGAAAAGAGCATTTTATTTAATAAAATATACCAACCCACAGCTTAATTAAAATGGTGGGAAACAGGCCTAGCTGACATAATCTCTCAATTAATGGACTTAAAAACTTCTATTAAAGTTTGATGTACAGGTAAATGGAAGGACAAGATAAAAAGATGTTCGAAACTGCTTGCTTAGTGCAACATGTCCATAAGTGTATATGCCACCATTATACTAACGTCACGCAGAATGGTCTACATAAACAACACAAACCTGCCTGACTATAATCTCCAAACAACGAACGTTACCCTTTACCCCATTAACTTTTAACATATTTATATATATATATATATATATATATATACACACATACATTATTTGTCTGTTCAACAGCCATTTTGCAGACAAGTACTTTATTAGTTTACATATATAATTTGTGTGTTCAAAGACATTTCACTTAAAAACTGTTTTAAGAACTTTCTGGGCCCCCACAGCAAAAATTTGCTCAAATGTTCCTTAAATATGTTTTGATTACATTTTCACCCTTTTGCACCCCAATTATCCCTCCCAATCATATACAACATAAGCAACATGAAAGTCTTAAAAATATCAGTCTATTCTTACACTGTAAGTCTTTACATTGAATATGACATTTTTTAAAATAAACAGTAAGACAAATTATTTTAAAATAATAGTCAGGATTGTCAAAGCAAACATAATATCATTGAAAAGCTGAATTTAAAAAATTCAACTAAAATGTCAACTTACGACCACCAGTAAATCATACAATGACAAAAGCTCCATTCCCTCAATGATTGATTAAAAAAAAAAAACAAAAAAAAAGAACTTTGCTTCTCAGTGTTTTAATGTTTGAGCTTCAGAGTCCAGCATGTGGAATAACAATGTGTTCTCACGGCAAGCCATGACTGCATGGGGTAGGCAATATAACATTGTCAGATATTTTAAAGGCCAGGCAAACCAAAGAAGAAAAACCCTCAATGATTGATTAAAAAAAAAAAACAAAAAAAAAGAACTTTGCTTCTCAGTGTTTTAATGTTTGAGCTTCAGAGTCCAGCATGTGGAATAACAATGTGTTCTCACGGCAAGCCATGACTGCTTGGGGTTGGCTATATAACATTGTCAGGTATTTTAAAGGCCAGGCAAACCAAAGAAGAAAAGCTCTAAGGATGTATTCAACACAGCTAAACGGATAGTGTAGATAAAACAGAAGGGCATAACTGCAATGACAGTTGCATTATAATCATATTTTCATCTATAACTTCTGAATTGTGAAGAAAATAGAGAGAAGTGTACAATTTTATGTTACAATGTATTCATCAAATTTGGCTAGAATCTTATAGTTTTGTACATGATATTTGGCTGGTCTCTTGTATAATTGTAGTAAATGATGTTTGGCTGGTCTCTTGTATACATGATATTTGGCTAGAATCTTATATAGTTTTGTACATATTTGGCTGGTAACTTGTATAATAGTAAAGGATGTTTGCCTGGTATCTTGTATACATGATATTTGGCTGGTATTTTGTATAATTGTGTACACGATAATTGGCTGGTATCTTGTATAATTGTGTCCATTATATTTGGCTGGTTTCTTGTATAATTATGTACATGATTCAAAAGACCTAAAAAATAAGCCTCACTGTTATATTTTCAAGAGACAGTACAATGCTACAGTGATGTAGTTTATTAAATGCCCACATATTAATGATTAGTACTGATAATGCTGAATATATTAGCTATAGTATTGATTAGTATGTATATGTAGTGTGTCTGTTTATTTGTTTCCCAAAATCAAGTTAACAAGAGTTGATAAAAAAAAAAATTGAGGCTGTACAAATTGTTCCACCATCCCCCATGCAAACTCATATTCAAATTTAATATACAAAAAATAATGAAGATGGGCATGATGGATTCAAAAATTTAAAAAAAATAAATAAATAAAATATAGCAGAGGTTATCATTAATTAAAACCAAAGTATTAAAGCGAAAAATTGGAATTTTGTAAAAAAAATGAAAATTTGAATGGATGGATGGTTGAGAAGTGTATTAATACATGGAGGAAGGGCTCATTCAATAATATCGACTGGGAGATTATTTAGCACCCACCTAAATATGTTCTGTCATAATCCCTCAGACTTCTTCTAAAATTTAGTGCCACAGTGATAAAAGTTTGTCTGCTAATTGTATAAACACTTTTGAAATTGACTAATGAAAAAAAACAACAATCTATATAATAATCTATAATATAATATTCAAAACAATGTTTATCATAGTTTCTGTATGTTAGCTTACTGTTATAGATTAAAAATCAAGTGTATTATTAACTCATTTTGTAATAAATTCCATTGCTCCATCTGGTCACTTATATAATTCTATGAATTTGCATCTGACTTAGACTCCTGCAAACTCTTTGTGCCAGCTGATAGAGTGCAGATGAACAGATTCATCTGCTAACAGTATTTTTTGTCATGTTTTTGTGCCTATAATTAGGTATCTCCCTCTCCCCACTCTCTCTATAGATTTGTGTCTGTGCATAATTAATTGAATTGAGGTGATTAATCTTTCTAGGATCCATGTCCCTTAAAGAGCTGCCCACTGATTTTTTACAGACACAATTTATTGACCTTTTTTTAGAATTTTTTTTTTTTTAAAAATCAGTAAAAAGACCAACACAAAATGAATGATAACAGTACAAGAAATGACTTGGGTGTGATAGTCAAGCTGAGGATTTCTTTGTTCAGAACCGTTTCCAAGTGACTCAGTGATAAAGAAAACATATGCTATCCTAATGCTTGCTAGTAATGATTTGTCACCATTACTTTACTCAATGACAGCAGTCTTTAAGTAGCCATTATTCATACCGCAAATTTTTGATCAGTAGTGTTCCTGCTACGCAAGCAATTAATTTCAACAACTGCCAAATAAAACTCATGCAATTCATTTCTGAATTAAGTACAACATCAAGTGAGGATAAATTTATTTGAATGAGCCCTTAGCCATAATTTATGTTTGCGGTTTGTAAACGAAGGGAGATTACCAAGCAGGATCCTGGGAGTTTTTACCTGTCCTTGGAATGTTCCATAACTTTCATTGAGAATACCCTTCTTACCCGTTGTGGGCTAAGGGCGGCAATCAGAAGCGTGAGAGGAGAGAGAAAAGTAGCGGAGCTTCACGTCAAATTCTTTGGGATTAGTTATTTCAATGTAGAATAATTTTAGCAGGAAAAACTTTCCTTTTAACGTGTCAATCTGTACAGAGTCAAGGTTTTACATCCTTCATATCTCATCTGATGTAATTGTGAAAAATACTAATGTAATCCGTTATATTTCGGTAAAATCTTTAAAAATAATATAATTTATATACAAAACTCAGTTTAGGTGAGATTCGTTTAAAGTCATTATTTAAAATGTATTTAACAACTTTTCATGACTGGAATGAGCTATGTATAATTATAAATAGCTATTCTATAGATAGATTGTCATTGCCAAAATATTAAAAATGTGTGCTAGCAAAAAACTTTGAGGTAAAATGTGATGTTGGTGATTTAAATAAAAATAATCATGATGCAGCTATGCATTACAGAAATGAATACTGACAGAAATATTACTGGAAACATGAATCAATTGAATTAAAAGGAGACTGTAAATGTTTAGTACATTCAACTCCACAAAACAATTTAAGAAATCATAAATGATTTTGCTCTAAATTTCTACATTTTAACAGAAACAGTGCAATTTTTAAAAAATGCATTGTTTGAGTACAAAAACATTATGGACTCAAATCATTTCACTGATCATTAAATTTGTAAATATTAAAGCCAGTTTAAAAAAAATCATGCACTTAGGAAGTAAATATCAGATGTGAAAGGCACTGACTTTAAGCTTGCAAGGATATTTGATAAAGTAGACTTATCAAGGAAACTATACCTAAATAGTTTTTACTCTGATCCATGTTCAATATACAATGAGCTGGCTTTTTGTTATTTTTTTTTTGAATCAATGAAAGATTTAAATTCTGCAATTACATTAAGTGAATTTTAGATAGTTTTCTTTAAAAATTAACAACAAATATTACACTAACATCTATTAACTAAACAATATTTAAGAGAAAATAAGGGATCTCAAAAGACAAAAGTGCACAACCCCAAAACAACACTAAGGACAGTAAGCATGGACACATTGAACTGGTCCTTACTGTAATTATGTGAATGGAGACTGTAGTAATGCTAGGGTCTGCATTGTAATAAAACAATTGTTAATATTTTCAACGGATTATAAAATGTAACAAATGCTGATATTTTGAGGAATGCCACATTTATTTCCCTTATCAAATTATCTGCTCAGTAATCAAAAACATGTGGTGATGAAGCCGTCTGATCACAAACTTGAACAATTCAAAACTGAGGTATGAGGATTAACCATTAGAGTGGAACATGCCATGCTTTCATGCATTTGTATCTACAGGCTTTGTATCCAATGTTATCATGGGAGTTTGTCTTGAAATTGAACTTATGTCCACTCAGTGAGCCCATAATGCTTACAAAAACATTTCAATTATATATGTGTGGAAATAAATCTGAATCCTGCAATTTGCGGGTTTTTAGAAATACATATTTAATTAACAGTTTCTAAATTCAATACATAAAGATTTCAGTTATTTAAGAATTCTATTGGAATCTTGACTGAATCATCCAATCGCAAAAATATTTTCTTTTCATTGTGTCGTCAGAATAGAAGCAATTTTACAATATAGACCACATGCTATTTTTTTAAAAACGGAGCTCTTCTCTGATTGTATTTGATGCAGAACAGGAAGTGCTCTTCTATGAGCGACCTCATATCAGTTTAGCCAAACATGATGAATACAGGGTTAAAAAATAGCCATGAACTCTCCAAATCCATAGGCCAACCCTTCGCTAGAGTCATAGGCGAACCCTTTACCTAGGGACATGTAGTGGATCACTTGACAATACCTTCGATAAAGTCATAGGCCAACCCTTTACCTAGGGACATGTAGTGGATCACTTGACAATACCTTCGATAAAGTCATAGGCCAACCCTTTACCTAGGGACGAGTAGTGAATCACTTGACAATACCTTAGATAGAGTCAAAGGCGAACCCTTTATCCTAGAGACATGTAATAGAGTTATTACAGGGGTTAAAAAATGAGCCCCTTGTTGATTCGCCACCACTGTAAACCGAATCTTAAGAAAAATCTGACCATTTGGCTTATGTGGCAAGTGATCTAAGACTAGAAACATGCATGGAAAGAAACTAGCTGACAACCTATGCTGTGTATCAAGTCTAACCTGTCAAGTGGGCAGCTGCTGACCACCAAGTCTAACGCTTTTGTAGTGGGCAGCTGCTGCCCACCAAGTCTAACGCTTTTGTATATATTGAACAAATCATGCAACGCCTAGACTAATTTATACTTTTTGCCCGAAAGCCCTGGTTAATTTAGATATTTTGTTTAAATTTAAGAACTTAGTTTTTAAAAAATATATTAGATCTATCCCTATTATGACCAATGGAAAGAACAACCAAATCTACAGCTTTGCACAGCCCCACAGACAGTTACATGAAACAACTCACATCTTGGATGATTGGCACCCCGAGATTCTGAGTGTTGGTGATGATGCACTTCTCTTCCATGGGGATCTGTGCGTGCTGTACCAGCTTGGCCAGATTCTCCTCAGATATGCCTTTATAAACACAGACATAAGATGATGAAACCGGGGAATTGTTCACAAGGTTCTCACTGCAAACCTAAGTCTAAGATTAACATGCACCATTGTACTTGAAGTTCTAACCTACATATCATGAGATGGAATTGGATTCATTGATGTTATGATTTGCCAGCATAAGATCCACAACATAAATTTGTTTGTAGCAACTCAATCTACCTGGACATCCATTTACAGATATTGATACAGTGGTGGGGAATCCTGTGGCACACATGTAGGGAAGTACAGTGTCCAAACATGTGGAGAAGAATAGTGGGAAAACCTGTGGCCCACATGGGGAAGTATTGTGGGCCTCAGACTTTATTTGCCTGTCCCTACCTATTTTTCCCAACTCTTGACCAGTGTAAGATTCTATATTTGCTTTTCCCTGCCTGTGTTTTCCCTGCCTGTGTTTTCCCTGCCTGTGTTTTCCCTCTCTTCCCTAAGATTCTATTAGCATGTTCCTGCCTATGTTGCCCATCTCTTGACCAGTGTGAGATTCTATTTGCCTATCTCTTGACCAGTGTAAGATTCTATTTGCCTTTCCCTGCCTATCTCTTGATCAGTGTGAGACTCAAATTTGCCTGCCCCTGAGCTAATATCAGTTGTGTAGCAGGAGTTTTTAAGGACAGAAACAGTTTGATCTATATCAATGCTATAGTGAAATTAACACAGTCTCATCTGTGAAGACATAAAGTAAACTAGATTAAATCACCCTTCACCACAGAAACATTTCATGAATTAAACAGCAACTGACCAGCTTTGTGTATGATGTACAGAAGAATAATTCGGATCTTGTCATAAGCTGTGATGTTCTGGTCTAGGAGGATGGGCACAATGTTCCTCATGTGATCTCTTATTTTCTCTCCATCTGCATCGGTGCCCATGGCCAGATCCTAGAAAATGTATGGCATTGTAATTTGATATAAATTAGCCAATCCTCTCTGTGAAACTTCCTTTCATATATTTATTTTAAAACAGAATGTTTACATGAGATTAATTTTTGTCATGAACCCAGAACTATTTAGGCAGAAATAAAAATGCAATTTAAAAAATTAGCCTAACATGAAAATAAACAAACGTCTTACAGCAAATCAAAATAAAACATTTAAAAAAAAGTTGATTGGTAGATATCCAAAGGAAATAGTTTTATTTAATCCACATATTGAAGTTACACACTCATTATGTAACCTAGCACTGGAAAATAAAGTGACCTCCCTACAGCACATACCTGCTCCACCTTACACAGCTTGTCGACATGCTTCTGATACTGCCTCATACAGTCCTCTGCCAGGTGAAAGTGAGCAGAGTACTTGCTGAGCTCCTTCTGGTACTGGGGTGCTTTCTTCAACATCTGGCTGAGATCTCTTATGTTGGTCTTATCTGATGTGTTCATGCGCTTGGACTCGGCAAACTGTTTCAGCTTTTTGGTCACTTGTCTAAAAGAGATGGGATTTTTTAAAAAAAGAGGATGGATAAGTATTTTTTGGAGATAGAGCTCTGAACATAAATTCTCAGTCACTCAACCCTTTTCAGTTTGAAAAGCTTTCATAAAGGAAAAAAAAGTCTGCAGTAAACTTCTGTGAATAATTCACACTTATAATTAAGTCCCATGGTACACTGTTGATGGTGAATTTATAGATAATATAAAGCTATATGTAAATGTAATGTAAAAGCCAAGTATAGGAAGTGTCCTTCCATGTAAAATATTTCAAAGACAAGGCTGAATTACAATGAAATAAATTTGCCCTAAATTTGATACTGCACATGTCTTGTTATGCCAAATTTTAATGACTATTTATTGTTACTGCCCACAATAGGAAAAAAAAAGTTACATCCTTATCTCAAAACTTATTCCAAAATTTTCTTTTAACTTCATCCATACAAACGCTAATAAGTCATTGAACTCATCTCTTCTCAGGACAGGAAGAACTATATATTTTTTTTAGTATAAGTAATTTACCGAGCTCCAATATTGACGCAATGACACATAGTATCTTCTTCTTTAAATAATATTTCATTCTAACTTAACCATCAAAATGACAAACATGGTGACATAAATTTTTTGTTGACAAGATATGCATCTGTCCATACTTATTTTGAGTTTGATTACCAAACTTACTGAGACACAATGGCCATGTGTTGATGCCTCAGCTCTACCCACAGCTCATCATTCTCATCGAGCAGACACTCTTTTTCTGTCACCTCATTACCACTTGTGTTTTCATACCTGCAGTGCAACAAGGTGGACCAATAAAACCATTAGCAATCAGCTGGCACTTCGTTTACACTCTGTGTTATTGATGACAGGTGATGCCAAGTATGAAGAGTCAGAATGTTAACACTGTCTCTGTTATTGATGACAGGTGATGTCAAGTATAGTGTCAGAATTTTAACATGGTCTCTATTATTGATGACAGGTGACGTCATGTATGAAGAGTCAGAATGTGAGAATAAAAGGATAGAAATGATGACAACTTAATATTCTTGTTCAATTAAAATAGTTTCAACAAGTAAAAAATAAAAATATCAGCATAAAGATCTCAGAGGGTCTTACTTGTAGACATCATTCTCTATAGGCAGCAGATCATAAGCCATGGCCTGGAATGTCAGTTCATGAAGCAGTGGGGAAATCGGATCAAACCCCCTGTCAAGTATCAACAGCATGGAGCGATCTTTCTGTGGACCCTGGTGGAGCGATCACACAAAATTACAGCAAAGTGAAACTTTCCTGTTCATTCACAATAGTTTTGGTGTTCAGTATAGGCAGTAAATAACATTTTACAACAGCTTTTGGTGTTCATTATAGGCAGTAAATAACATTTTACAACAGCTTTTGGTGCTCCTTATAGGCAGTAAAAAACATTTCAAATTGTGAAGAACATATTTCTAGAGAATGTCAAGTTTTAAGTTTATCACACACACCTCCCCCATAGTGTGATCGTCTGCCCTGTAGGCATCCAATTTCTGCTGGACTAGTTGTGCAAACTCTGCATTGCGATCATAATCTCTGAAATAGAAGGCTAAAATATTATAGTCCATGAACTGTACAATACAATATACCAGAACAAGAAAACATATGTTCTGGTTGTAAATATTCAAATATTTCATAGGATAAAAAAAAAGTATTAAAAAAAAAACAATGTTTAAAAACGATCAGTTTGCATCGACTTTTTAACTAAAAAGTTATTATTCTGAAACAACTCTTTAAGACACCAATATAGCATAACTGTTCTTTAAAATTACATCCCAGTAAAATTATATATGAATATATTTCTGAAGCAAGTTGGAATAATTTCTTTCAGTAAGATCATAAAACAAATATCACAAATAACTTTGCCTATAGCTGGCACCTTTAAATTATTGGGTTTTACAATTTCTACTACACATTAACTTTATTGGAATGTTGACATTATTTCTTGTACAGTTCACCTAAAATGTCTTCTGTATGCTAATAGTTGATGCTAGGTAGATAAAGCTTTTAACTCACTTTCTTGATTTGTTTATACTGCAAATATTTTTTGTTAACCAATGAGAGGCATTTATTTATTTCAAAATATTTTTAAAAATCCATAGTTCACCACAGGTGTGTATAAATTGTGTCATCTTTTTATAGAAAAGATACTTAAGCATAACATTTTATATTCAAAATAGTAAATAAATGGGTGAGATTGAAGCCAAATGCCTTTAATAAAAAATAAAACATTAAAACATAGAGTAAAAAAAGCAAATAATTTTTAAAGATTACAAAAATAATTTGGTAAACACATCAAAAAATAAAAACTTACGATCTATATCTTACAGCTGGGTATTCTCCTAATGTAGCACACAAGGTGGCAATTTGTTCAGCACACCTTTCTAGGTTAATGGTGCGCCCTGATGACTTGTTGGGGTTGTAGTAGAACTGGAAAGTCTCTGCTGAGTCAAGGGAATAAACCTAAGGATGGAAAGGGAATGATTACAATAAATGGAAGTAAACAAGTTGTGATGAAAATGCATTTTGCACCCCGAACCCACAAAAGACACACAAAAAAAAAAAATAAAAAAAAAGAACACAAAAATATCCCTCTAAATTGAACTTCAGCATGGGTGTTTATTATTTTTTGCTAGGAATTATTTTCTTTTGCTAGGAATAAAGCTGTAAAGCTAATACATGAAAAAGCAGCTAAAGCAAGCCAATTTTTACTTTACCTATGCATATGTTAATTCTTATGATCAATATGAATGAGATGGATTCCCTCAATATACGCCTTATGTTTAGATTATTGACAGGAATCTGCTCCCCCTCCAAGAATGTCTCACTAACCACATTTAACTATGTAATTCATTTAGAATGGCAACTGACCTGAGATTCATAAGGCAGAAATGCTATGTTTATTTCCTTAAGAGTTTTTATAAACTTTGCACTTGTCGACTTGCACAGCTCATTGAACGACTCGTCTGGACATGCTGAAATAAAGATATCAATTTCATTTAGGGCACCCGACCAATGATTTCTCTACGACTTTAGGTTAATGCCATTCTGAGAGAACACAGTCATCGTAATTTAAATCACACATTAAGGAACAAAATATGCCTCTGGCTTACTAGATGTAATCTTGGATTTGGACAGGGACAACAATAGAGTTGCCATGGTTACATGCAAGTCCTGCTTACCTTCTGTGAAGTAGACATGAGCAGATTTATATTGAGTGTTGTTAGGATTTTGAAAATCAGCGATCATCGTTTTAATCGACTGTGGACAAAATAGTGGGACAGGAATAATAATGTAAATTTAAAAAATTGTCTTTAGCATAGCTTCTAGTTTTCTTATAAAACGCTTAAAAGTGGTCTGTTGTATACAAATAGTTTCTAACTATAAAAAGAATAATAATAAAAATGGTCAGTACAGTAAACCTACATGCTTTTAAAACAATTTTTGTGTGTCTAATTTACCTTATCAATAGGTGTAATGAGATATATTGCCTCTAACAAAGGAAGAGGCTCTCTTCTCTTGTTGATATCCTCTACCACTGAAATTGAGACAAAGCTGTTAAACTATGTAGCTAATTATAGACTAATATAGAATCAATGTCAGAACAATAAAGACTTATGAAATTAGACGTGCGTGAGATATTTTGTAGAAATTCATTACATTTATATGAAAATAGAGAGGGAATCACTACTTACGTGTGATTCCTTCTGACATGATTTCGTGCATCTTGCAACACGCAGAAATCATTCGTTTGCTGAGGTTGTCCACAACAAGTACTTTCCATTCTCCTGACTTTCGTTGCTGTCTTATCACCTCGTTGATAATCTCTGGGGAATTAAAAAAAAAAAAAAAGACTTATTACAATTCATCCAAATCAAAAAGCACATTAGACTCCCATGTAAAAGTCCATCCATCGGTAAAGCTTTCAGATTTTCATATTGCCTTCAGTGGTTGATGGGTTATGACTAGAGTCTTGCTAATATTTTACAACCAACAATAGAAAACCAATTTAGATATCTTAACTTAAGTATTAGCAGTAAAATAAAAAAAAAAGTAAAATTCACAACTTACTTTCATTGATTTAAATTATAACTTTTATTAAATTGAATTATGAATTTGATATAAAAAATAGAACATTACACCCCACCCCAACATCAATAGCAATTAAAGATTATTTATGTTCAAACTTCTTAATCCGTTACATGATTGTTGCTTGGAGGCTTGAAAAAAAAATAATGGTACAGATTTTTGTTGAATTAAAAAAAAATTTACAAGTAGACTAAAATTTACACTGTGATTTGAAAATAAAATATTATACTAAATTTGTTTTAAAAAATCTAATAATAATAATACAGTTCATTTCAAAACATGTGGCATTCCCTAATTAAGGCTTCAAACGCAATAAAATACAAAACACAACAATACAAAATTGCGTTGCAAAGCATGTTAATGTGATTTTCCATAGTTAGTGTTCTGTCTAAGTACACACCCAGGTTTTACACTGTTTGAGCAAACTCAATCTGCACAACTGAGAGAGTAAGGGATGGTGTGGTAATTACAGATTTTAGCTTCTGAGCGGTAGCAATGGGGATCAGCTCAGTCTTTTCATTATTCAATTTTTGCTTGTTTAAAGTCATCCAGTGCTTAACCGACTCCACTGTTTTCTGTGTTCTTCTAAGAAGCTGAGGGAACTGAGAGGAGATCACGGACTGCTGAAGATGGGTATCATCCGCAAACATGTGATATAGCATGTCAAACTGTTTGATCACTGCACCCAGGGCTGAACGTACATAGTGAAAAGCACCGGGCCTAGGACCGAGCCCTGGGGTACTCCAAAATCGATAATAGATTGCTTCAAGGTCAAGCCGTTTGCGATAACTGATTGGACCCGATTTGTCAGATATGAGCGGAACCATCTCAGGATGGTATCGGTGAAACCGAAAGTTCTTTTGCAGACGTTGGAGAAGTATGCCGTGGTCAAGCCTATTGAACGCCGATGATAGATCAAGTAACGACAAAATGGATACCTGGCCCTCATCACATGACGACAGAAGGTCATTTATGACCTGCAAGAGGGCTGACTCAGTAGAGTGATGCCCCTATATGCCGACTGGAAAGGCTGAAGCAAGTCACACTGAGTGAGGTGATCCAGGAGCAACATCTTTAATAATAATATTCTGTCATGAATAAATAACCCTAATGAGGAGACCTATCCTAAATACTCTTTCTAAAGCAGACCTTTGGAAGGGAGGGGGAAGGGAGGAATAAGTGGGATGATGGGCTTAAGAGTGGGTCATGTGAGATTTTTATAATATCCTCAAGAGACATTGAATAATGAAATTGTAACTGTAGATCATAGATGTCCTAGACTATGGCAAGTCTACAAGATTCCAAGATATATTACCTGAAGCTTAAAATATTAACAAATATCTGCACCTAACTTAATTATCAATTTTTCCTTTTGAAATAAAATGAAGGATTTAATTTCACGATTAAATTTATTTTTCTCTCTATTTCCATCTGCCATTGTTCACAAGAGATCATAAGGCAAAAATACTGTAAGTAGATAGTATTTTCAGTTGACCCTCAGATAGGTGTTCACAACCTTAGTTTGGTGAGCGACATGCCTCCTTTTCATGTAAATATACATGTAAATATAGCTAATATTTCTTAAACACATGTCACAAAATGTTTCCATAACAACTTGAAAACTGAAAAGCAATCTTCATGAACTTCGTAATCTTAAAAAAAATTGTTTTTTTATAAACGTGTACACTGGAAAAATGGAGAAAACAATTCCTGGAATTTTCTTATAAAATGTATATTCCGCACTGAACAACAGTAAGCAAAATTTATGTGTAGTAAAAACAAAAAAATTGTAAAAAATGTGACCTATATGTTAGTATATACCTACAAGAAAACTCCTCATTATGCAGCTTTAAAACAAACTATATTAACATATTTTTCTGTATAAACATAAAGCTTTTTGAAAACTATAAATTTAACAAAACATCCATCCATGCTGTCAGTGAAATCACTTTGTTCTTCAACTTAAACAAACAACACTCCCAATGTTATGATAAGCAATTACAGCTTACATAAGGCTGGCCTTCATCCCTAATTCTAAATATTCTTTGGTAGCATATTGCTGACACTTGCATATTATTTTATGGGATCAGCTTCTCAACAGCTTATCCACTTTTCAGGCCCCCCCCCCCCCCCCCCCCCCCAACCCCTAAAATGGGGATGGATCAGCTCACGAATGAACAGGCATTAGAACAAGTATCTATAGTCTACAGTAAGCCCCTGACTATCTGAAGGTATAAAATAATATAATCTATATAAGGAAATGCTCCCCCTTATTAATTAACTAATTAATTAAAGCTTTCCCTGACCAATAGTTTAATAGTTTTTGTACATGGCAAACTCTTATGAATAAAACTTTGAGATAGTACTACAGCATAGCCACTCTGCAAGTGGCTGTGAATGGTTGTCCAATAAAAAATTTTGCACTTGCACACTGCAAATTATGATAATTTATAATATGGACTCTACCAAGTTTTTAAACCTCAAATGAGGTTATTCTTGTTTAAATGCCTTTCAAGTTCCCTCTAAAACATAAGTTATTCCAATGTTTTGATGTAAATAGTGATAATAATTGAATATTTCTCAAATATCAACATCTTTCTCCATTAAAAAGGGGCGTGGTCACATCCTATCAAATTTGGGTAGAGCGACCTACATAATATACTGCTCTCTCATAGAAGACATAGCGCTTTGAAAATTGGCACACTGGCAGATTAATATAAACCCGAGATGCGTAAAAAATCCAAAATATATATGAAATGACATATTTTTAACTTCGACTTAATCTTTGTGATGTAAGTTACCTTTTATTCACCAAGGATTTTCTCAAAGTTGACTGATCGTCAAGGAATAAGAAATTAATTAAAATGTAGGCCAAGGTGATTGAAGATGTCCTCTAAAGTTTAAAGAGAAATGCCGGAAAAGGAATGCAATTGTGGGGTATAGTAATTATTTTATGAATGAAGTAGCAAATACAACCGATTAAAACTCAGAATTTCATGCGCCGACGCCCAATTCCAATACACATTTTTAAGTCTCCCTTGCTTTACCATGGTATCCTACTTACGTTAACCCAAAATTTACAGAATAAGGTTTTCCCGTCCCCTAACCCTGAGCTGCTATGCTGTGGCTACCATTTATAATTTATTACCAATTATTATCACCATTCTCATTCAACAAGAAGAGCCTGCAAAAAAGAACACGTATTAATTCCAATACAAAAAAACCTGATCTCAGTTTAATTTTTCACTCAATGACACATAATTCAATGACTCATTCAGTCACTGTCAGTTCAGTTCGGTGATTGAAGAAATCACTGCTGTGGCTGACAATGATTGAACATCGACGACAGCTGAGTAATGAATGACTGGGTAATGACAGTCTTGGTGTCACTAATAAGCTGAACCAATATTCAGTACCCTATAAAAATTATAACCATTCAGTCTTTCAAATATAAATTTGAAAATTTAAACAAAATTGTTTTTTTTTTTTTCAATATATAAACGAAATAAACAACGTTATGCCATAAAATTGTCCTTACTTTCGTGAACAGCCTCTTTCAACGCCATTTTGAATGATTAATAACAAAAGAATTATGGGAACTTAAAATTGTAAAAAGTTTACCTAAAATTGTAACGATATCAAAACAATTTTTATATTTCTTTTAATAATAAAAATATTTAAAATTTAAATAGATTATAAATAGATTTCATGATATACATTTGCTAGCTAATTTGTCTTTCTTCGATAAAGAGATTTTGAAAATTAATTTTAAAGTAAAAAAATACACAGAACACTATTCTAAAGAGCATCATGGGCTAGAGACTTGGGAGCCGAAAATGTTCTTGTTTTTTTAAACAACCCATTTTTTCTTCGTTAATTAATATTTTGAGTATAATAATAAATTTTAAAAATTATATTGAATGAATTTGCTGGTATTGGCTTAGTATCCACTGTTTAGGTTATTTAGATTTAAAAAAAAATAGTATTAAAAATAGGACATATGTCGTCACATCTTATTTATGATAACATAAAATTATTTAACATTATCTATACCTAAATAAATATGCTATAGTCTATAGTACCATATTTCTTCTTGTATAATTAATTATTGTTTGATTATTCAGGTATAGTTTAGAGTCCTATGAGAATGTATTTTTAAGATTTAAAATAAGGTTTAACCACAGTTTACACTCGAACATAAATAGTAAAATACTGCTGATAAAGAAAGTTGCAAGAAAAAGGCCGCGATTAATAGAATGACTCCATTTGTGATGAATACTTAAAGCAGACTTTCCCAAACTGGGGTTCTGGCACCCTCATGAAGTACGAGTTTGGGTTTCAGAGTTTCTAGGGAAAATCACTAAAAATTGCATCCTTACAGCTTGTTTGAATAAGCTTTGCATCCCCAACAAACTCAGTTTGTTTCATAAAAAAAAAAAGACACAGAAAGAGAAATTTAAAATCTAGAAACTTACCTTGTTTCTATAAATAAACAATTCGAAGGGGTGCATTTACAGAAATGGTTAGGAAAATTTGCTCTTACGAACTAATTTCTTAAACCATGGAGAGATTTTTGTTATGCTCAAATTCCCACACTTTATAAAAGATATGATAGTAAAGAAAAATAGGTAATTTTAATATCAATAAATAAATATTGACAATGAATGTCTTTATCTTGATATTTTAATACATTGAAACTGGCAATAATTGGTGATAACTACCACGAAACTAAATATTTTAAAAAAAAAATACAAATACAACACGTATATTTAATGTACATACCAGTAGAACGTGTTGCATTCGTATTTCCTATATTTATACATTAATGAAATTTATAACATTTATATGTTTTCACATATACTTATCGTGGATGCTTTTTTTTTTTTTTTATAGGTAGGCCTATTATTTTTGGCAAGCTATTTAAAAAAAAAAATTTCTTAATTTTAATTTATTAAAAAAAACTATTTTCGTCGATCAATAAAAAAAAAATATCTGGCGGTTTTTACAAAAAGGCATAAATGAAGCCAGCTAAATTTGACTGATTCCCACCCCCCCCTCCATTCCTCCCACACACAAGCAAAAGAAAAAATCGTCACCACTTGTCACTAAAAATATCACAAATTCGTACTCTCACTCCTACTCTCACTCCTACTCTCACTCCTACTCTCACTCCTACTCTCACTCCTACTCTCACTCCTACTCTCACTCCTACTCTCACTCCTACTCTCACTCCTACTCTCACTCCTACTCTCACCACACGAGATATGTAACGCCCAAAATGGATATCATAAATATCCTCATTTCATTTTTAATTATAGACTATAGATTTATAATCTTTTTTCTTATTTCCATATAAGATATTTATATAAGATTTTAGCATATTATTAAATTCTTAGACATCATTATTATTCAACACCATTTTTGAATCTCACATTTAATCTTTTGATTGATTCACCCTTCACAGAAGCCCGCGTAATCTCTTATATTTAGCTTCTGGTGTAGCTGCTTCCTTTTCCACCGCCGCCCCTCCCCTTACTCAACATGTTTATATCAATAGTACTGAGTGAAAGAGCTGTCAGGCAGCGAACGTCATGCGTGACGGTCAAACTCAGGTAAAAAGGTTGATTTTTTTTCCAGAGGTGACTATTATATCAATCAATAAGGAGCCACGGGTATGGTGTAGGACTGTCTGTAGGATTGTTATTTAAAATCTTGCAGGTAGGATGTAGGACTTTCGGTAGGCCTATTGTTTAAAGACCGGCAGGTATGACGGAGGACTGTCTGTAGGAGCGTTGTTTAAAGGGCTGGGGTCCTCCGTTGCGAATGCGGGCGATTTGAGGGTGGCCCCCGTGACCTTGTTGGTCGTTGCCTCCACAAAATGCCGGAGCTGGCTGGATTGTGCGAGCCCCACCGTGAGTGCTGATGGGGCACGAGGCTTTGCCCATCGTCCCATACCCATTCACTGCGTTCACGGTGCCTCAATGGGCGTCTGCGTGCAAGAACACAATCATGGTGGAGCGCAGTTTGGTTACGTGCCCCGAGGTACAAATATGGGATGTTTGGTTGCTGCAGCCCTGGTAGAAACAGTAGGAGCTGGTCACGATGTGGTGGCTCTAGCTTTTCCCTGGACTACGCTAAGCACGCCGTGCTAATGTGTCTTCAGCCGGCCAATTTTTATAGACAGTAATACAGTCGCTAGGTTGCGTGGGACGCTGTGGGCTAGGCTATCACGTGGCCCGAAAAATTAGTTTTGCGGGGAAACCTCTGGTCCGGGTCTGCTAAGAAGAACGAAGGTTCAGCCCAGGACGATTCTCCGTGAGGCGCGGTTCAAAAGTGACCGATCAGTAGCGTTTCACGTAAGTCTAAGTTTTAACTTGTCCACCCTCCCCAATCCATCTTACACCACTTTTTGCTGTGATTCGCCAGCCAATGAAGTGTTCCTCTGACCACGGCTGTCTTAATCGCAGCGGGAAAAAAGAGGGGTGGGGTGACGCGAAAAATGTAGTGCACTGGGGGCTGGGGCCCCTTATTGCCTTCTAACCAATGCTGGTAATTTTATTAACATCATTTTGGCCCAAGTTAGTCCATGCGATATGACCAGTGTGTTTTTTTTCCCTCACAATTTCATCCGGGCTGGGGAGGGAGGGCGGGGGGGGGGCATTTCATGTGTGTGAGTGTGTGGAGGGGGGCATAATCTGTCAGCGCCAAAGTTAGTGATTATGACTCCTAAGACCATCGCTGACTCCGGTGTCAATGCCATACATAAACATTCATTTATTCCCATCTGTAGCAATGTTTTTGGCCTAAGCTTAGTTTCGCCCCTGGAATCTATATATAATTCAGCTCTATATACCAAATTAAATGACATAATACTTTCAGTGACATAGCTCGGACGGACTACAGCCGACTGGGAGAGGGGGGGGGGCGCTACATTTTTTGCGCCACTCCTCCCCCCTTTTACCAGATACAAAAAAAATAAATAAAAATAAATACTGTTTATAGAAAAGGTCTGTAACTCTGTCATGACTAGTTTAAAACTGATCATTTAAAAAAAGTGTTTATACAAATGGCATAATGGCATGGAGGCGATAGAATGTATTGATACAAGGCATCACATATTTATCAATACGGGAGTTATCCTAGGGAAGTTTTAGAGTATGAACTCTCCAAAAATTCAATAGATTGAAAGGTTTATTTTCGAATGTCAAATTACAACTTTTTATCGGACAAATTACAAATGAATGAACATACGAATTAACAAATGAATAAAGATATGAATGGAAGTATAAATGAACATGTGAATGAACATATGACCGAACAAATGAATGAACATAAGAATGAACAAATGAATGAACACATGAATGAACCTATGAATGAACAAATGAACAAACATATTAATGGACAAATGAATGAACATATAAATATAACGTATGAATGAAAATATGAATGAACATACGAGTGAGCATATGAATGAACATATGATTGGACATTACACGCGTATTAACTCTTTGATTTACACATTACACCACCCCCTCCCCTTCTCAAAAAAAGATAAAATAAAATAAAACTAAAAAAAAAAAAAAAAAAAAAAAAAAAAAAAAAAATTAAAAAAAAAAAAAAAAAAAAAAAACAATAAAAAAAATATATTTGAAAATAAACATGAAATACAAACCAGTTCACAAAAGTGTGCCTCCCACTGAACGTACAGTAGATGACCAAAAAATGGGCAAAGTATCGTTCACTATTCATCACATGTTCAGCGTTATGCCCTTAGACGCGTGATGCCCCAGAATCGTGATGCTACTAGAAGCGCGATGCCCCTAGAAGCGTGATGCCCCTAGAAGCGTGATGCCCCTTAGAAGCGTGAGCCCCTTGGGGCAACGGCCTACTGTTACCATGCTTTAAGACATTGCCTTTGACAAATTTGCCGCACTGTCTGGGTCATAGCTCCTCTGCACACATGCTACCAATTTATTCCCAGACCAATGTGATCTCAGCCGATTTTGTGTACATTTCAGTTTTTAGAAACCTTGTTCCCATGAAACTTGGGATAGTGCAAGAGTCAGTCAATATTATAACTAGTAAATAATACTGAATTTGCAACTGAATAAAATATATACCTTTTCAGCATAAGTCACTATTCTTTTCAGACCAAATACGTTCTGCTGTTACGTTTGATCTGCGAAATATTCTTAATCCAAATTTTTCATAATAATTTTTTAAAAATCATTGTTTTGGTTATTTTAATTCCAGAATGTCTTCAAATTGTCAAATCTGGGAGTAAAATCTTCACCAATTTTAGTTGGCGCTATTGTGGCGTCGAATCGCAAATTTGTTTTTCTGAGAACTTCGAACGTTTCTTTCAAAACTCCACCAAGTTCCTAAAAATCCCTTAGATCTATTCACGTCCTATTGCAGCTATCTCGCCGTTTCCTGTAAATCCTTTCGCGCAAACAATTCAACACTGTCTTAGCCACCTAACCTTTAATATGTGGAAAGAATTTATTCTATTGGAATAAAAAAAAATGGGCATGAAGCACATCACCATACATTTCTAAGCAAGCAGAGCCGTTGCCTGAC